AATGAAGGATAAAAGTCATATGATCATATAAATAGATGCAGAAAAAGCATTTGATGAAATCCAGCACCCATTTATGATAAAAACTCTCAGCAAAGTGGGAAAAGAGGGACATACCTCAATGCAATAAAGGCCATATATGACAAACTCACAGCCAACATCATACTCAATGGGCAAAAAACTAAAAGCGTTGTCCTTAGGATCAAGAACAAGACAGGGATGTCCATTTTCACCAGTCTTATTCAACATAGTACTGGAAGTCCAAATTGGAAAAGACCAAGTAAAACTGTCATTATTTGCACATGATATGAAGCTGTTTATAGAGAACCCTAAAGATTCCACTCAAAAACTGCTAGAACTGATCAACGAATTCAGTAAAGTAGCAGGATACAAAATAAATATTCAGAAATCAGTTTCCTTTCTATATACCAATAATGAACTATCAGAAAGGGAAACTAAGAAAACAATCCCATTCACAATTGCTTCAAAAAGAATAAAATACCCAGGAATAAATTTAACCAAGTACATAAAAGACCTGTACTTGGAAAATTATAAGACACTGAAGAAAGAAATAAAAGAAGATACAAATAAGTGGAAGTATATACCATGTTCATGGATAGAAAGAATTAACATCATTAAAATGTCCATACTACCCAAAGAAATCTATGGATATAATGTAATTCCTATCAAGATACCAATGGTGTATTTCACAGAACTAGAACAAATATTCCAGAAATTTATATAGAACCACAAAAGACCCAGAGTAGCATCAGTGATCTAAAGAAAGAAAAACAAAATTGGAGAAATCATGCTACCTGATATCAAACTATACTACAAGACCATAGTAATCAAAACAGCATGGTACTGGCATAAAAATAGACATATAAATCAAGGAACAGAATAGAAAGCCCAGAAATGTATCCATGCCTTTATAGTCAATTAATATTTGACAAAGAAGGCAAAAATATACAAAGGGGTAAAAATAGTCTATTCAATAAATGGTGTTGGGAATATTGGACAGATATGTGTAAAAAAAAAGTTAATCTAGACCAATTTGTTACACCATACACAAGAATAAACTCAAAGTGGATTAAAGAATTAAATGTTAGATTTGAAACTATAAAAATCCTAGAAAAAAAACAAAGGCTGTAAAATCTCAGATATTTTTCCTAGCAAAATTTTTTCTGATATATCTCCTCGAGGAGGGAAAACAAAAGAAAAAATAAACAAATGGGACTACATCAAACTAAAAAGCTTTTGCTCAGCAAAATGAAAAGACAACCCACTGAACGGGAGGACATATTCGCCAATGATACATCTGATAAGGGGCTATTATGCAAAATTAATAATGAACTGATGCAACTCAATACCAAAAATATAAACAACCCAATTTAAAAATGGGCAAAGGATCTAAATAGACACTTCTCCAAAGACAATATACAGATGGCCAATAGATATATGAAGAGATGCTCAATGTCACTAATCATCAGAGAAATGAAAATTAAAACCACATATGTTCTCTCTCTCTCCCATTTTTTTCGTGTGGGAGGCAACCACATTTTTGGTGGCCTTGCTTCGGCAAGGAAAAAAAAAACACAATCAGATATCATCTCACACATGTCAGAATGGCTATCACCAATAAATCAACAAGTAATAAATGTTGGTAAGGATGTGGAGAAAAGTGAACCCTCAGTCACTGTTGGTGGGAATGCAGATTGGTGCAACCACTGTGGAAAGCAGTATGTAGGGATCTCAAAATATTAAAAATATAACTGCCCTATGACCCAGGGATTCCACTTCTGGGAATTTATCCCAAGAAGCCCAAAATGTTAATTAGAAAGAAAATATGCACCCCTATAGTCATTACAGCATTATTTATAACAGCTAAAATCTGGAAGCAGCACAAGTGCCCATCAGTAGATGAGTGGATCAAAAAGTTGTAGTACATTTACACATGGAATAGTACTTGGACATAAAAAAGAAAGAAATCTTACCCTTTGAAACAGCATGGATGGACCTGGGGAGCATTATGCTAAGTGAAACAACCCAATCGGAGAAAGACAAGTACCATATGATTTCACTCATATATAGAATTTAACGAACAAAATGAACTGACAAACAAAATAGAGATAGACAGAGAGTAGGCTGACAGCTGTGTGTGTAGGGGGTGGCATTTGGGGAGGAGGATGGAGGTGTTGAGTAAAAAAGAAAAAGAGAGAGAAAACTCAGGGATACTGACAACAGTGTCGTAATTGCCAGGGGGAGGGGAGCAGGGCGAAGTGGAAGAGGGTGTGGGGAGATAAATGGTGATGGATGGGAGTTGACTTAGGTTGGTGAACACACAATACAGTGTACAGATGATGGGTGGTAGAATTGTGCACCTGAAACCTGTATAATTTTGTTAATCAGTGTCACTCCAATAAATTCAATAAAAAGGGATGTGTGGAGAAAAAGAAATTGGAATTACACGGCTAAAAGCCAAGGAACACCCAGGATTGCTTGGAGCCACCAGAAGCTAGGAAGCGGCAAGAAAGGACTCTTGCCTAGACACTTCAGAGAGAGCATGGCTATGCTGACACTTTGATTTCCAACTTCTGGTCTTCAAGAACTGTGAGAGAATACATTCCCATTGTTGTAAGCCACCCACTTTATTGTTATTTTTAAAGGCACTCTTAGAAAAATAAATATACCTGCCTAACACTTGGTCTTCAATTTCCAGTTCATTCTATGGGATAATTTTTAATTTGAAATTTAATTCTTTCCACTAATTAACACTCTTTAATTGTTTTCCCCAAAATATGTCACCTTGGCTCTATTCTTCCAAAAATCCAGCCCTGTCTCTCCATTCTTTTGGAAAAGGAGTACTTCCTCCCCCAACCCTGAATAAAGGGTGTGAATGCTCATACCTACTCCATAAAGAAACCAAACCACTACCCTAATACTTTGTTGTGTCATGGGAGTTTGCATTGTTTGTCCTCATGTCAATGACAAAAATCACTTTATATATACTATATTTATCTACTAAAAATATAGTATTGACACATTTCCTAATAATGTCCCATACATAATAACACAGGATTTCTAAAAATCATTATCTTCAGTCTTTATAAATCACCCGAATTCTAGCTTTTCAAACAGCTCTGAAAGCTAAATCAAATCCCTTAAAGGTAGATTATTGGTCGGTCCCAAAGTCATTGAGGAGACTCACCCCAGACTCAATTAAATGGATCTCTACTACTTTGCCAAACACTCCACCAAGAAGATTCTTATAATCTTGGGAAGGGATGGAGACTGGAAAGGGAGTGGCCATAAAAGGAATATGGTGAAGCTGCTAGGGGCAGTCCAATGCCATATCAACACTGTGTGGTGATTGCTTGATTACTGACTTTTTAAAGTAATCAGTTGTTGCCCCGGCCAGTTTGGCTCAGCAGTTAGAGTATCAGCTCTCAGACTGAGGGTCTCAGGTTCAATTCTTGGTCAAGGGTACATACTTAGGTTGCAGGTTCAATCCCTGGCCCCAGTCCCATCCTGTGGGAGGCAACCAATCAATGTGTCTTTCTCACATCCATGTTTCTCTCTCTCTCCTCCACTCTATCTAAAAATCAATTGGAACATATCCTTGGGTGAGGATTAACAACAACAACAACAAAGTTTGCAGTTGTCATTGAACTCAGTAGTGAGACAAAGAGCTCTAAAATGTCAGTGCAAGGTTTCTCATTTGGGAGCTAATCTATTTTCAAGGTTTTCCTGGGCCTGAGTCTAATACAGTGACTGGTACATACAAAAGGTCAACTCTAATGAATGATAGTCACTGAGAAGCCTGTCTGCAGGTTCTAGTAGTGGTCTTTTCAGAAAAAATAAAATAAAATAAATAGAAGAAGTCTCTTCTACGCATGAATATTTTCTTTATGAGCTGTGGACCCAAGCCATGGCTACCACCATCACTATAATTCTATTCACAGGAATTTTCATAAAGGCCTAACAATGTCCTGTATATGAGAGTTCAAAATAAGTCATAACTAGGAGATTTAAGACCTCACCAAAACCCAGTAGATGTGCAGACTTCACTGGACAAAAGGCAGTTATGACATAGAATTCTAGTTTAATCTGTGGAGAGATTTGGGTGTAACTGAGACCACTGAAAGGAAACAGAGATGAAATTTATCTGTATACACGGCATGCTTGGCTCCCTCCAGATGCTCGGGCCTGTCCTCAGAGGCTCTGGACCTCCAGATCCCACCCGCAAGCCGCCGCCTCCGCGCCGCCTGCTTCTCCCGGGACAATGTGACCCCGCGGGCGCTTCCCGGTCCGCTCCAGCCCTCGGGCCTTGGGGATCACCGCCCCGGAGAGGGAGCGCCACAGGGGACCCTGACGTCCAGGCCGCCGGCCGCGCGCTCCTCGCCCTCCGCGGGTAGCGGCCCGGGGGGACCGGAGCCCAGCTGGGCGGCCGGGCCAGGGGCACAGGGCGCCCCCAGAGTGCGGGCTTTCCCCACCCCCGGCGGCGACCCCACCTCCCGCCCCCGCGGCGTGCACGCGTGTGTCCGTCTGTCTGTCTTCTCTCTCGACGTCAGTGGGAATTTCCAGCCAGGAAGTGAGAGAGTGAGCAAGAGAGAAAGACAGAGAAGTGCTCCAGCGAGCCGGGGCAGGAAGAGGAGGTTTCGCCACCGGAGCGGCCCGGCTACGCGCTGACAGCTTCCCCTGCCCTTCCCGTCGGTCGGGCCTCTCGCCGCCGCCGCCGCCCTCGGCCTGCGCCCCGCCGCCGGCCCCACTCCGAGAGCCCCGCGCAGGCCAGAGCCCCCGCGGCCGGGAAGGCGGCGCTGCCGCGGCCCGGCCCCGCGCGCCCCGCGCTTCTCCCCGCCCGTGCTGCGACATGGCGCGGCGCTGACTGGCCCGGCCCGGGAGACCGCGCGCCCGCTCGCCCAGCCCGCTCGAGCCGCACCCGGACCGGCTTCGGCCCGGCCGCCGCCTCCGCCTTCCCGGCCCCCAGGCCCGCGCCGCCCGGACGGGGAGCCCGCAGGCGCCGGGAGGCCGCGCGCCGACGCGCCACCAGGGTAAGCCAAATTCGGGCCAGAGGGGCCACGCCGGGGACCTGCGGCCGAGGCCCGCCGGCTGCCCGCCCCGCACCCCTTCGGCCCCGCGCGGACTTCCTCCTTCCCGCGCTAACTGCTGGGCCACCCCGTAGGAGGCGGTTGACAGGAGTTGAGAGGCACTTAAGATTGGCGACAGAGGGAAAGGCACATCCGGACTTGGCGGGGCCGGTGGACCCGAGGGCCGCGGCTGCCCCAGCTGTCCTTTCTCTTCTCGTCCCTCCGCCAGGCGGGAACGGGACCCAGAGGGGAACTCGCGCAAACTTTTTAAAATCCCCACCCCCACCCGCTGCGGGGGGATGGCTTGAGGACTGAGGTGCGAATGGGGTCGGATGAGAGAGGGGAAGGTGGTTGGTGCAGTGCTGAACCAGATTTCACCTAAGGGCGTTCCATGAAATGAAAGCAGAAGTGCCTGGCAGCCCTCTCGGCTGGGAAAGCCCTCCCCAGCTCCCCCAAATTGAATAAGACAGCCTAATGCCTTCGTCTCCTACTTCAAAAGGAAGCCCCCATTTCTCACACACACACACACACACGCACACGCGCGCGCGCGCGCGCACGACATAACAATTCACCTACTATAGGTCCTGTACATTCGTTTTCAAAATAAGGAGGCTTGACACTGATCCTGCAGGGCCTGGTTTTTAAGAGAGAAAAGGAATTACCCACTTAGAGCACTTTTTTGGACACTGATTATGTAAAACACTTGAGCAACGGTACCAGATATTGTGCATGACCTCTAAAACAAAAATAATGATATAAACAAAGCGTGGCCTAAATTCAAGTTTTCTCCTGGTCTTCAAAAATAAATACCGATGGAGATGTTTGCCCTGATTTATTGGTCTCCCCGGAAACCTAAATGGGACTTAATGATACAGTATCTGATTATCTAGATTTAAGTAAGATGTTTTCATGGACTTGTTAAGTAGGGTTTTTCAGCATTGCAGCTTATTAAATAAGTATATTTAACTTAAAGATTTTGTCATAAGGCCCATAATCTGAGAAAATAACTGGTATTACTAAAACACTTAATAGCTGTGGCATACGAATGTTCTACAAACTGGTGATCTTTGGTAAACACTTAAACTTGGGATCAAGATGTTCAGTGCCTATTTTCTAACAAAATACCTCAACTGAATATTCTTGAGTACTTTAAATTGCATTAGTGTTTGTTAAAACTTTAAAAAGGATACTTGTTAACATAAAGCCCATAGTTGATTTATGTTGTTTTCCTGATTTTAATATTGTGCTTTCTAGAAATGAATTATTTTACTGTTTGATGTGCTAAAGAAATTATGTAAATGATTTAAAGCAAAGTATTTTTTGCGCTTCTGAACTTGAGAAGCCAGGAAATAAAATGATTTGTTTCTTGTAACCTTTTACATTTATTATGTAATCAAATTGCTAAGGTGAAAAGAACATATATGATGAATGAAATCTCCTGAAATTATTCATCCATATTGATATACCTGCAACTCCTCAATTTGCTCTGGAGCTTGTTTAGAGAAAATGTCTTCCTGGGCCACAGCCATCTAGACAAATATGAACACAAAGGAACACTCACTATCTGTAGAATTAATGCTAGCACTGAAATGCTGCTTGCTGCAAAGAGTAAAACCACGTCTAACCTGTTTGAAAGACTTTTTAAAGAAATGTTATGATCCTCTTAGGGGTGGGTGGCAATTTGAACATTTATATTTTTATTTTGTAATTTTGGTTTTATCTTATGTTCTGCAGTTGGCATTCACATGGGCTGAATAAATGCCCCTGTTTTTCAAACCCAGTAAGTAAATACTGGAGTATACATACAAAAATAGCTGTTCCCCTTTGTAAGCACTGGTTTGATCTTTGTACTTCCTTCTTCTACCTCTTCAACAAGATCTTCTGTGATGACTGAGTTGCAGTTGGTAAAAGCTCAGTTAGTCTGGAATAGGCAGAACTTCAGATTTAGTGATCCTGTTCCTCATATTTCTCTTGTCATGTTCCTTGGAATAAACTGAAGTTAGTTTGAGAAACTTAATCTTTACTCAGATTGTTTTTACTCTTGCTTTTAGACTTCCAGATAATGGGCGAAGTAAGTTACTACCTTGACTTTCAGAGACTGTTCATTGTGGTCGAAAGGAGGTCTAGATAAGAAATTGGAGGTTACAGGAATCTGGGACTCTCATTCAATCAGCAAGACCTTATTTTTTACCTAATTTATGAGAGGTATTCCCCTGTTCAGAAGAGGTGAAAGTTCTGGCTTCTGGGGGGAAGTGGTTACTTTATAACCTTCAATTAGTTTGAACTTGGGAGAAGAAAGAACAGTAGCTGACATTTTAAAACAATACATTAAAAAAATAATATCTGAGTTTTCATATGGATTTTGATCATCAAAATATCATCTTTTTCTTCTTCAGAACTTAGTAGTAAATGTCCTGTTCTGAGCATAGTAGAAAGTGTCTGGAAATGCAGAGTACTTTAATCAGTAGAGTGAATATTGAGATGATGCCCTTTTATTTTACAGATTGAACATGAACCAATTAGCAGGAATGAATATGTAAGGATTAATTGATGGCTACACAAAATTCCTAATTAATTTACCTTACTCAGTAGGAAAGTTTTTTTGTTGGCTTGATTGGTTTTATGTTTATAATATGAATCATATAAGGTGGCATGATTGTTATAAGAGGAGGAGAAGAAAGGATAGACTTTTAGTGCTAGAAAACACTTTTAAATCTTCTGTTTCTACACGTATGATCAGAGTTTATTGACAACTGCTTTCTTGGTGACCAGTAAACCACAGTGAGGCAGTTTATCCTGCTTTCTGAGATTTAATCCTCATTTGCACTCTTGCACTATAAATAGTGAACTCACTATAGTGTTCTTAGAGGTGAGCAGATAAATCATCAGAAGCATATATACCCCTTTGAGTTGGCCGTGTCACTCCTTAGGAAACCTTGAGGGTTTGAAGAAATAGAGGCATTTAGCCTCAGAGAGGAATGTTTGGGTTTGTGGCCTAGTCATGCATGTTAGTTTGGCTCCTTGGCTGTGTGTGTGTGTGTGTGTGTGTGTGTGTGTGTTTAATCAAAAAAGATTAATAATGGAAACTAGGTAATTTGGTAGAGTTAATAGTTGGGGTGCATAACCAAGACATTTTTCTTTGTGGTAGTTCATTAATGAGTATCCAGGGCCTCACTGTTAGATGTTTTAAAAGTAGTACTATTTTTTTTATGATAATGAAATTGCTTCATGCCTTTGATTTCTGCTGTATTAGAGGTGTTCCTGAGTGCTTATTAATAACATATAGTTTATATTTTCAGATGGGGTTAGTAGACCTAGCCTTGAAGACCAGCTAATAGTTTAGAAAATAAATTGTGAAATAAAATCTTATTGCTTCATTATGAATAATTTAAAGACAACAGTTTTACACAAAGTACGTAATATAATGTGTGACTTCTTTAAGATTATAGATAGACTCCTCAAGAGTATAGATTATGGATGAAAACACTTTTTAATTTAGAGTATTAATCATAAAAATATTGTTTTAAAATTTAAAAATAAATCAATTAATCTCTTCTCATATTTTCTGTAGTAATTAATAGATTTAATTATCAGTAATGCAAGTTTTATCTGTTTTAATCTGTTGCCTGTTTTGAAATTAGAATAATGAAATGGGTGGTTTAATTTCCCATTACAAATTGACTTATTATTTTTCACTTACATTTCACCATGAGGCCAAAAATCCTATAACCAGCTTTATTATGATTCATAATTTCAATAGATATTAACAAATTTAAACTACCTATAGATTCCATTTCTTACTTTAAAAAATTCTGACTGTTGGAGAAGACTAAAGATTTATATAGCTTATTCTTTAAGAGCTAAGTATGAAAAAAAAAATGCAAAAGAGAGGGAAAGAGCTACCTGAGAAGAATAAAATCCTGTAGTTCCAGTTTTAATAAGATCGTATCTAATCTATACTGGCAAATATCTGACACTTAACATTGTGCTTGTTGGTATACACTGAGCAATCAGTAACTATTTGTTGAATGAGGGCATGACATAAGTTTTATTTGTTTAAACAAAGAGCAGCTGTTTTCTGTAAGAAATCAAATTACACCATTTTGCCTTGCCTTCTGGGAAGAAAGAAGCCAAAAACTATTCTTACTTCCTAGGTATTATATTCTTATTTAAAGAACACTTGAAGTTTACTAGAACAAATAATTTATTTAAAAGTACCCAGTTCTGCCTGGCTGGTGTGGCTCACTGGTTGAGCATCAACCAAGAGGTTGTGGGTTAGATTCCCGGTCAGGACACATAACCAGGTTGTGGGCCAACTGCCCAGTCGATGTTCTCTCTCATCAATGTTTCTGTCTCTCTCTCCCTCTCTCATCCTCTCTCTCTCAAATCAATGAACGGGGGGGGGGGGGGGGGGGGGGGGAAATGTACCCAGTGCCTTCCAAAAGAGAAGCATTTCATTCTGAAAAAGGAGTTTATGAACTGGGGGGAAAAATAGCTTCTAGTTTCAAAGTTTTAAAAGCACTCATCATACAAGTAATTAAGTAATTGAAATGATAAAAGGTGTACAAGAAAAAATAACTTTTGGGCTAGGCTACAATTCCTCTGAGGTCCACTGAAATTGTAATTTCAATACCAGTATCTCCAAGCAAGGAAACAATGTTACAAGCACTGTTTTGTAATCCAGAGAGTGTTAAAGCCTATCTAAATCAATCAATCAAAAAGTAAAAACAAATATGTTATGATATCCAGAATTAAATACTTATCACATATAAAAAATGGGGTGGGGGGAGTTACTAGCTGGAAATCTCAGGAACAGCAGGCAGTTAGCAAGATTTACTATACTTCCCACTTTTGTACTTGAATAATTTTGTGACTGAAATCCGGGCCTCGTCTCATCATGCCAGGTTTTGTTAATTATTTCTCAGTTGTAGCATCTTCAGAAAATCGTTTTAACCATTTATTCT